AAGAACCAACACATCATGAACGGCAAAACTTAACAGGCTACAGACATCAAAATGCAACAACGGTTCTCAACTCATTATGGTTCCCTTTTGACAAGTTTCTCTGCTGCAGGTACACCTCACGTGGAATTGTCACATGCTGAATTTAGGCCCTGGTTTTCTACACGTGACAGCAGCGCAGTGTTTTCCCACACAAGATGGCAACACAACCACAAGTTTGTCATCACACAATCTATGATCAACTCTTTCCCCCCTCTCCCCCCTCCCTTGTGTATGTGAACTGCTGAGTCACTGCCTGAAGGACTGATTGAGCACCTGAAGAAAAGACCCAATCAACTCTGGAAGCCAGACTCCACCCTCTTGGACTTATGTAAGGGCACTCAGGAATGCTCTCATACTGGAGGTTGCTCTTTCATGGAATTTTTTCTGTGAGCCTAGATCCTTGGAGACTCTTACTCTTCATAACAACTTTCCATTGCACTGGTCCTTTTGCCCTAACACCTTGGCTCAGAGCTCACTTTATGAGGCCTTTTTGGAGATAAGGCTCTAACTGACAACTGTGAATTATCTAGGAGGACAAGTGGTGGGTGTCACTGTGCCGCAACTTTTGATTATGGTTATAAAGATAAACAGAATTTGGAGGAGGAGGCCCTGCTTGATAGAGCTGGCCACTGCAAAATGCGATAATGCTCGAGCATGGCAATGAAGGCACCACTCCCTGTTGATCTGGAGGGCCAGGAGTATCAAGCTAACAGAAAGAAAAGAAAGAAAAAAAAAAAAAAAGTAGTGGAAAAGTGGGTGATAAAAGGTATACACTATACTAAGCATACTGGAGAGAAATTCCCTGAGAAAAACAAACCCCTTATGAAAGAACCTCCTGGGTCCTGCTTGCAGCCAAGCTTCCTGGCTTTCTCCTATCTCTCACAGTGACTGGACAAGTTCCTGGGATCAACGGACAGCCACAGGCTAGGTTAGACCCAGGGTGCTGACAATCCCTCACACTTTCCACAAAGACCCCTTGCTTTTATTTCCTATCTCTTTTCCATTGCCTGGCATTGCCCTTCCCCATCTCCCTGAGTGACTAGGATTTATAATAAACTGGTTGGACAAACATTGCACACGTTGTGTCTTAATCTTGCCAGTGGGTATAAATATATGAAAGAATCTCCTCTCTCGCCTGTAATTGGTTGAGACACAATCTCAGGCGCATCCCTTCCCAACTTGTTCACATCTGTCTTCATTGTCAAAGCTTTTAGGTAGACTGGAAGACATTCTTTAAACAATAGTCTAAAGCTTTCCCTCCGAAATGTG